TTGTTCTGTGTACTGGAGATGCAGCAGTGAGTAAGACAGGAGAGGTCTTGCCCCCAGGAGACTTATATTCTATGTGGGAGGGCAGACCAGAAATAAGAAGCACATCACAGAATGTCCAATGTTGCTAAGTGCCACGTAACACAAAAAAAACAGCGGTGGGGACGGTAGAGAGCTATTTCACACAGGTGGTTAGGAAAAACCTCTCCGAAAAGGTGTCACCTGAAGGCAGCACATCATCATGCTGTGTGGCATCCGGGCGCAGGGGTTTGGGGCAGAGGGCACAGCAAGGACACATGGCCAGAGAAGGAGGGGTGGCTGAAAGCACGTGGAGGCGGCCAGTGGGCAGAACAGGCAAGGAGAGCACAGCTGTGTGCAAAGATGTCCTCCCAGGCCATCATGCAGGGCCCTCTGAGGTTATTTGTAGGGATTTAGGTTTTTACTATTAATAATATGGGGAGGCACTGGTGGGCTCTAAGCAGGGAACTCACATGATCTGTTTTACTTTTTTCAAACCTCACTCAGTCTGCTGTGTTGAAATAGCTGATATGGAGCAAAGGTGGGGGCAGGAAGCTGTGACCCCGGTCCAGGGAGGGGTGGCGGCTTGGACCAGGGTGGACCAGAATTGGTCGGAATCTGGATATGCTGTGAAGACAGACTGTTGGCATTTGCTGCAGAGTCACAGAGGGTAGCAAGGTCCAAGGCCTGAACCCCTGGAAGGTGACAGATGCCACTGGTTGAGACCAGGGGGGCTGTAGAAGGAGGTGATTTGGGTGCGGGGTGAGGGAGGGGACCCGGAGCTCAGGTCAGACTGTGTTAATTTCAGGTGCCTATTATCCACCCAAGTGCCGAGGGGACAGTTAGACACTCAAGTCTGGAGCTCAAGAGAGAGGTTCAAGATAGAGAGACGTACATTTAGGTGTTATCTGTGTAGAGATGCTGTTTAAAGCCTGGACACTAGGGGGCTCAGCCAGTGAGATGTGAGATGGATAGAGAGGAGGTCCAGGTCTGAACCCTGAGCACTCGCACACGTGAAGGCCAAGGGCGGGATGGGACACGCGAATGACGATGACACTGCTCATGGCTGCTTAATTAGGAGCACGGGTGCTTAGGAGATGGTGTTAAGTAAAGACGTCAGATTACAAACCAGCACATGATGATCCTGGTTTGCTACAATAATCATATGCATTGCAAAAATACTGGAAGACTGTGTGCCACCATATTGGTGATTTTCACTTAGTAAAGTAAATACGTGTGGTGATTCCTTCCTGCTTTCTATGTGTTAAGTTGCTCTGGCTGTGGATATTTACACTTCATAAAGGAAAAATGGTAACATTACATTGAAAGGGAGATTTCTATTGAAAATTCTCAAGTTGTGCTTAAACACAGGCCATGTGTGTGTGGCCTAGGTTTTGCTTGAATGGCTCTGTCATAGGAGATGACCAAATTTCAGAGGAGGCGGCGCTCTCTCTGACTTCTGATAAGTATTTCCCTGGTCTGTCTGGTCAAGCTGCTCCCTCTGCCTTCTTCTGTGGCTCAGTCAAGGGGCATCCTGTGACCTAAGCATCCTCACCAAGCATCGCTCATCACTCCAGTTTCCCACCAATCTGTTGACTGGTACCCATTTTCTTCCCTGAGTAAAGCATGGGGGTGAGGGGGCATCTTAAAGTCTCCCCAAACCCCCAAACACAATATTATACTCATCAGGGAACTTCTAGGTGGATATAAAAATACTCGCAATAAAAAGGAATGATCGAATTATTGGAATATAAATAATTTATACAGCCAGATAAAATTAAGTAATAATCATCAATGGCTGATGGTCCCACAAAGATGGACCAAGGACATTCCGTGCCTCCTGATACAAGTACACAATACTACTTTTGAAGATTCCTAAGGGAAAATAAAATCCTGCACTTAGATCAAACCTTTGGATAGAAAAATAATTTAAAGATAATACAGGGGACAGAGGATTACTTATACCAGTGGTGCTTGGAGTGTGGCACCCAGATGGCAGTATTAGCGTCACCCAGGAGCTTGTTACAAATGCAGGTTCTCAGGCTCCGTCCCAGCCCCCCCCCCCGACTCAGAAGCTATGGGGTGGGGCCCAGCAAGCTGCATTTTAATGAGTCCCCCCAATAATACTCAGTGCCCGCTAAATTTGTGAACTCCCTCCTTCTCCTTACACAACCATCACAGGGGTGCAGCAACGGTCAGATGTGGGTAACCTTCCAGGGCAAATGGTCCAGCCTTTTTAATAAATATATCATAAGAAGAGAGAGAGAGAGAGAGAGAGAGAGAGAGAGAGAGAGAGACACTTAGGAGATATATCATACATGTTTCCAAATGCAATGTGCAGACAGTTTGCAATGTGCAGACAGTTTTTGGCTTCTGATTTGAAAGAAAATCCACTGTAAAAAATTATGAAACAGTAAGCAAAATTTAAACAATGACTTGAGAGCTGATAATATTAAGGACCTACAACTTATATTTTAGATATGATAGAGACATGTGGTTAAGTTCAGTAAATACATCTTTATCATTTGGTGGCTCTAAGTGACATGATATGTGTGGAGGTATGATTATTCTCTTTACTGTCTATGTTGGAAAATGTCCATGATAAAGAGGTTTGAAAAGAACACAGAAGGACACGACATGTGTGTGTACGCACATGGACATGTGATCTAATGTCCTGTGCACACGTGGCCTGGCATGTCTCTCAGCCTGGGCCGCACCCACTGCCCAGGGCCAGGGGCTCAGGCCTTCCACACGTCCCACGGGCACTTCCTTCTTACTGATCTCCGTTCCTGGTCTTTTGTTCTATTTCCACAGCTATGCATCCACTGTGACCCCTACTCATTCTGCTATTGGCCTTGTGTTGGTGGCGGGTGGGGTAGGGCTGGGGCTTGGATCTCAGAGAGAAGGGCTGTGTGGATTGAAAAGGCCCTTGGAAAGTTTGACATGGCTTCCGCACCCCCTCACCCTGCACCCTCCCCCCATCTCACACGGCTGGGGCTGGGTGAGGGCAGGGGCCTAACAGCCATCTGTATTTATTTGTTCATTCGCTGGCAGTTAGCACTCAGAGAGAGCTGAGGAGACACATCTTATTGAAACGGTCTCGTGCTCATGGCGCTCTCAGCAGGCTCCCAGCATTTACACTTGGATGCGTCTACTTGTTGTCCCTTCTGTTTCGCGCACCTCAGGACCAGGGAGGCGGCTTTGGCTTACTTTGTAGCTTCCTGACTCGCCTTGCGCAGGCGCCACACACACCTGAGGAGGCGTTTGGTCACCAGCACCATCACCTGCATCTACTGACTTTTGCCAAAGTGCAGAGTCCTTTTTCTAAAAAGCACTCTGGCTCACCGGAAAAACAGTCTTAAAAGAGATCTTTCAAAAGGCAGGATTTCCAGTGACAACCCAATTCTCTTGATAATCATCTTATTTATAATAGCAGAAATATTCCTATATGAGAAAACCAGCTCTTGTTAAAATATCGAGATTATCATAAAACAATTCAGGATTCTGCATTGTTTTATGATAATCTGGATATGAAAGCCCTCCTCTGAAGACCCATACATTACAGTGTTGGGTAAACCAGACATCATCTAAATGGAAAAGATTGCATTTGTATACCTGTGCTGACTTTATAATAAGGATACAGCAAACCGGACGTAAGTGTCACGGACATATGAGGAGAGTTCAGAGCTGTGTCTTAGGACTCAGATTCACACTTAGCCCAGGTTGGGGGGACGGCTGTCCCCATGGAGTCGCCTCAGCAAAGGCCTGGCGCCGGGACAAAGACATCGAACGGCTTGGAGGATGCCAACTAAATTCCAGAGAACATCTTTTTACTTAGATGCCTTGCTTTAAAACACAAAAAATAATCCTGCAAAATCTCGAAAACCTTAAACCAATAAAAACTCATGGTTTACTGGTTAATTTCATGATGATAAACTAAAGAATGTTCCAGAAAACCTGCAACTTTCTCTGATTCTCTCCTCTCACTGTGTTTAGTGATAGATGTCAGTCTGAGCATAAAGGGGATGGAAAATATCTAGTTCCTTCGATATATACAGCATTGTTAGATCCTCTTTAAAGTTTTCAGGACAAATGAGAAAAATCTTTATACAGACACATGACTAGGTAGCTGTTAACACAAGTGGTGTTATGTTATTCTAAAGAGAGAATGTTTATGGCAAAGACCATCTTGGGACAAGAAATTAAGAAGAAAATTGGATTCCATAACAGCTCAGCGCTACTGGGGGGACAGTAAAATGGTACACATATTTTTCATTTCTCAGAAATGTTGCTATTGGATTGACATTTCCAAAGGTTTTTTATTTTTTCTATTTAGAAGATGTTAAGGAAATGCTTAATGTTTACAGTTCTCTGTCCTTCTTAAAAGAAAAGTTTTCCAAAATAAAACTGGTGTTTTTTTCATGGTTATTTTAAAATACTAAAATACATAGTAAAGAAAATAAAAATTAGGAATTCTACCACCCAGAAACAGATACCATTAATATTTTTGTGAATATTCCTTTAGATAACTCTCTCACTGCACATGTGCGCACACCCACACAATCACACAATCACACACACACACACACACACACACACACACACACACACACACTGACATACAATTTTAAATGTGTGGCGTCGTACCATGCATGACATTCTGTATCTTATTCTTGTCACCTAATAATATGAACGGACATCTTTCCATGTAACACACACACACCTTTTCCTGGCTGCTCACCTTCCCATCATAGGCACCACCCTTTAACCAAACTCTGAACCATGACTTCTGTGTTGGGGAGGCCCCTGTGCATGGATATTTGCAGTTCCTTCAGATGGCTGAAATGGGCCGCACTTCCCAAAGTGCCACTACTGCCGGGCTGAGGTACCTTTGCGTTGACACTTGGACAGTTCCTGCAAAACCCTCTTCATAACGTGCCTGTGAGCTCACACCCCCCAAGAACAGTGGGGCCGGCGTCACCCACCTTCCCAGAGTCCTAGAGGCTGGTGACGCTTCGCCGCCTCCCTCCTTGGTTGTCTGTGCAGTCACCTCTTCTTCCTTCCTGTGGTGAAGCTTGGCACCACTCCACTCGCATAGAAATGAGGACAGGTTTTGCATTTTACCTTAATCAGATCAAATTAGGGCAGGTGGCAACCCTGCAGGCAACGCAATTATGAAAAATGTGTGTGCTCGATCCGGGCTGTCCTCCCAGCTTCCCCGTCACACAGGACAGCAGAGCCCAAGCTTTCTGCTTCTGCTTCTAGCTCAGGACTCACAGAGCAGTCGCCCACACACTATGGATGTAGGAGTGCTGGCAAAGCTGGGACTAAGCGGAGTCTAAAATGCATGAAAACCTATTTGGGGAGATTAGCTAGTTTAATAGAATAATAGTTCTATTAAAAGAAAAAGAAAACCCTATGGCTGACCTGCGATTCTAAGGGGATCTTTTAAAACCCCCCCCCCCGTCCCCCACCTCTCACACTTGGCCATCCGACGTACAAAGAAATAATGTGGCGAACTCCCTGGGTTTCCTGTGAGTGAGCAGCTGACCATCCCATAGAAAACGGGCCATGAGCATCTGTTTAAATAGATCTGAGATAAACTGAAGCGAAATACACAGTTCTGGTCGACATGACGGGGAATTCTACACCCAGCTTCATTTAGGATATTGCTTCTCCAAGACACCCCAAGCACCAAATTAACAAACGTGATATTAAAAATGTGCTCGGCAGCAGCCGCCGTGCGAGTCTCTGCGTAGCGATCCTTCAGCATGTCAGAACACCACGGAAACAAATTAAACAGCAAAGCGTGGCTGCTGGGACGGCTGTACTAGCGAGGCAGCGCCACTCCATAAAGAATGCATTGCTTCAGACCCGGCAACGGCGCCGACAATGGATTCTCCATGTGTACAAAGCCCGCGCGGTTATTTGGAGAAGAACCAAAGGGAACAACACTTCAGAATCCGGTTCCCTTTCTTCCCAACATATTAAATTGGAGAAGCTGGTTATTTACTCTTTCCAGTTTATCCGCTGTCTGCATTCCTTTCCAGGTGGGCATTTGGGAAGAAGCCTCCAAGTATGAGTTTAGCGCTCATTCTAATGCTTGTTTTCCTAAGCGCTGTTAGATACTTGCTGAGAGCCCAGAGGAAACACAGCCTCCCGATGGGATACATGCTGTAGAAGCAGGCTTTGCTGCTCTGTTAGACTCACATATGTGAGCTCTGGCTTTCCTGCATCTGTGAAAATGGCGCTCTCCCGGCTTAGTAATGCATCACAGCTTTCTGTGATGGGTGACTGGGCCTTGCTTTGGGAATTACAGTTAGGTCAGAATGATTTCCAAAAAAAAGAACAATTAATAGACGAGCTCTTAGGAAACACAGAAGTCAGTCCTCTTTTGCAGATGGACATGCTCTACCAAAAAAAATATATAAATAAAAAAATAAAAAATTATAGATTCTATTCTGAAGCCAAAAGCACATCTTCTACACTTGCCTCGTGAGTTTTGTGATTTTAAAATTCATCCAAACTATGGCTACTTTTCTTGAAGTCCAGGTCTAACCTGGCATGAAAACTGTCTCTCAGCTGGTTGTCAATTAAATAGGTATAAAATTGTACCTTAAAGCAGCTAAGCACTTCTTGTCCCCATATATGGACACATGGACACCAACGAGATTTCAAGACACAAAGGGAAGGTGACACTTTAGGATTTGTTGCAGGAGGTTGGACAGACATCTGGCCCTTCCTTAGCATTCCTGAAACCAGACAAGGAGACGGTTGTCCTTTTTTTTTTTTCTTTTTCTTTGTTCTTTTCTATTTCTTCCCCTATGGCGGCCTCTGACTATAGCTCTGAGGTCTCAGCATAGTACAAGTCAACCCAACCAGGCAACGTATTCAACACACATCTGAAATTTCAGGGACCCCTCTGTTTGACTACAACTCTCCCATTTAAAAAAATAAAAATCATGTTCTTATTTTCAGTAAGGGCCGATTTGTAAGGAAGGAGCCCTGTAATCGTCCCCCCACACACATACACACACAATTCCAAGCCTCATTTGCTTCTTTTTGGTTTTTGCTGCAATATTGCCATAGCAAAGTATCGCTTACTGGAACTTGAGGGCTCTTAGCTTGGTTTACTTCCCTGTGTGTCCGGTCCTGCCCATCTTTGCTCTAGTTACCTTGATGACTGGCTCGCACGCCGAAACGCAATCACTCTAGTCCCTTACCCTGCGAGCACCTACTCTATGCTAAGACCTTAAGCTGCATTTCTAAGGGAGATTTTGTTAAAAAAAAATCTAAGGACTGAAATCTATCCCTCTCATTTTTCTCTTTTCTATTTCCATTGGAAAAATTTTCTCTGTTGTGCACTTCTGTGTAGAATACCCTTACATGCTTTCTGTTGAAATAGCCTAGTTTTAGTATTCTTGAGATAGGAAATGTTAGAGAAGGTATGGCACTGCTCTCATTATGCTGTATAACAGAGAAATATCGCCCCCTAAATTAAATCTAAATTCATCTTAGTAGTGCCTTATGCCCGATGTCTCAGCCAGTCTTTCTGCAAAGCGCCGCACACATCCCAGAGGACTGACCCTCACAAAGCTTGCGGTCCCTATAGCTCTTCAGATGCCTAGTCGCCTGCGTCCAGAACAACGATTTGTCACGAAAAGATGGTCCCTACGGCTGGTGTAGCATAGTATACAGGCCGGCAAACGCCACGTAATGAGATGGCTCTCTTCTCAAAGGCTGTGTTTTAAATTGATTGATGGGGCCGGGGGTTCATTTTCAGTGCCTTATTTACTACACATCACTATTCAAGGGCCTCAAGATAGCTCTGCTATCAGAACTCACTAATCCACATCACTTTATAAAAACACTCCCAGATTAACAAATCGATAATACTTACACACCACAAAATTGGTTACCACTTAAAGGCTTTATTCTGACAAGATTTATAGCCTGCATAAATCCCATTCTCATGTGATTCAGATGGGAGACAAGCAAGAGGCAACTGTGCTGTCTGATGGCAGCATTGTGGGCCACCAAGGACCCAAGTTCTTCCTCACGATGCAAGGCAGTCTGTGTTTAAAGCTATAAAGAACAGATGATGAGAAGGAAGTCGATCAATTCTTAAATTTCCACTAAAATACAGTTTAGGAAACTTTAAGGGGGCATTAGAAGGTGCTAGTAATTTACTTAAACCTTAAGGTGTCATCCTGTGTCTGTGTAATGGAGGTCATTTCAGAAAGAGAATCAAGATTTGTTTTACTTTTCAAACTCTAAATAAAACAAATACATATTACTTGTTTCAAATGAAAGTTACTCGACTGAGTCCTTTAATGCTAGCCTGAGACTAAGAGTGATAACGCAAATTTGGTCATTTTTACGGTAAAAGGCATGCTATTCAAAGGTCAAATTTATTTGTTTTTTGAAAAGGTATTTTAAACACATGAAGCCTACTCTATATAATATATTTCGAGGGGTGGGTTATAACAGCAGCATCTATTAAGGTCTTTTTTATTATTAAAGTTGACATACAATAATATGCTAGTTTCAGGTATATGACATGGTTATTTGATATTTCTATACCTAATGAAGTTGATCACCATGATAAGTCCAGTACCCATCTTTTACCATACAAAGTGATTATGATATTATTGACTATATTCCCTGGGCTGTACTTTATATCCCCTGACATTTATTTTATAACTGGAAGCTTGTACCTCTTAATCTCTGTCACCTTGTTCATGCAGCCCCCAACCACCTCCCCTCTAGTAGCCATCGGTTTGTTCTCTGTCTCTGAGTCTGTTTCTGTTTTGTTTATTTCTTTGTTTTGTATTTTCGATTCCACCTATAACCCGGGATCATACAGTACTTGTCTTTGTCTGTTGGACTTACTTCATTTAGCATAATACCTCTAGGTCCATCCATGATTTCACAAATTGCAAGACTTCATTGTTTTTTTTTTTCTGTGGCTGGGTAATATTCCATTGTATAAATGTACCACATCTTCTGTATCCAGTCATCTATCAATGAACACTTAGGTTGCTTCCATATCTTGACTATTGTAAATAATACTGCAATGAACATAAGGGTGCATATATCTTTTCAAATTAGTTTTTTCACTTTTTTTTTTTCAGACAAATACCCAGAAGTGGAATTGCTGGGCCATAAGGTAGTTCTATTTTTTAAAGTTTTTGAGGAACCTCTATACTGATTTCCATAGTGGCTGCACCAATTTACATCCTCACCAACAGTGCACGAGGGTTCCCTTTTCTCCACATCCTCAACAACACTTGTTATTTGTTGTCTTTTTGATAACAGCTATTCTGACAGGTGTGAGGTGATAGCTCATTTTCATTTTTATTTGCATTTTCCTGATGATTAGTTATGTTGAGCATCTTTTCATGTGTCTGTTGTCTGTCTGTATGTCTTCTTTGAAAAATGTCTATTCAGATCCTCTGTTCATTTTTAAAATTGGGTTTCTTTTTATGAGTTCCTTATATATTTTGGATATTAACCTCTTATAGGATATGTCATTTATGAATACCTTCTCCCATTCAGTAGGTTGTCTTTTCATTTTATTGGTGGTTTCCTTGGCTGTGAAGAAGCTTTTTAGTTTGATATAGTCCTATTTGTATATTTTTGCTTTTGTTTCCAGAAAACATAGGCAACAAACTCTTTGACATCGGTCTCAGCAATATCTTTTTGGAGATGTCAAGGCATCTCCAAAAAGATATTGCTGAGACCGATGTCAAAGAGTTTGTTGCCTATGTTTTCTTCTAGGAGTTTTATGGTTTCAGGTCTTACATTCAAGCTTTTAATCCATTTTGAGTTTATTCTTGAATATAGTGTAAGAAAGTAGATCCAGTTTCATTTTTTTGCATGTATGTGTCCAGTTTCCTCATCATTTATTAAAGAGACTGTCTTATTCCCATTGTATATTCTTGCCTTGTAGATTAACTGACCATGTAATTGTGGGTTTATTTCTGGGCTTTCTATTCTGTTCCATTGATCTATGAATCTGTTTTTGTGGTGGTACCATGCTGTTTTTATCACTAGCTTTGTAGTGCAGTTGGACATTAATCTCTCAAAATCTCTTTATTTCAGTCCTTGGTGAGAATTACTCTTGATGTTTCTATAAGTATATAAAATTGTAGCCTGAACTTGGGATTTCTGATTTAAAACTGAAAGTCAAATT